CGGCAGCTCAGCTCGGGCTGGGCATTGAACCGCTGTTGCTCAGAGCTCACACTCTTGAGTGAGCTCTTAACCAACTGAGCCACTCAGCTGGCCCTATATATATCTTTGGCATCTATATTCATGAGGGGTATAGGTTTGTAATTTTCTTGATTCTTTGTTCTCAGTATCACAGTAATTCTAGCTTCATAAAATGAGTTGAGAAGTTTTCTTCCTACTTTATTTTCTAGAAAAGATTATGTAGAATTGGTGCTAATTCTTCTTTAAACATTTGGTAGAATTCTCCAGCAAAACCACCTGGGTTTGGAGATTTCTTTTTAAGATTTTTACTGGGGAATCGGGGAGGGGGAACAGACAAATTGCTGTCCTTTTGTTCTTCAGTCTAGTGTGGAGGATGTCGATTCACTGGCCCAAGTTGGTATTATCATTGCGCTCTTCCCTGGTAAGGCAGATCAGTCGCTGGCCTCTGGACGGCCACTCACGGCAGCTCTTGGCAGCTAACTCTGGCTGCTGGCCACTCACTATGGCTGCTAGCCACTCACTATGGCTGCTAGCCACTCACGGTAGCTTATGGCAGCCCACTGCAGCCTACGCCATTGCCGGCGACTCACAGCAGCCCAGCTCCAGGTAGAGCTGTTGTTCACCATCTTAGCTGTAGAGGGCGCAGCATCACTGGCCCATGTGGGATCCGAACCGGCGGCCCTGCTGCTCAGAGATGGCGTCCCAAGCCAGCTCTTACCAATGCACCACTTGGCCGGCCCCTGGAGATTTATTTTTCAAAAGCTTTTTATTTATGAATTCCATTTCCTTAGGAGTCATAGATCTTTTCAAATTATCTGTGTCCTGTTCAGTGAGTAATGGCAGTTTGTGGTGGTCTAGGAATGGTTTGTCTGAGTTGTCACATGTACGTATGTAGAGTTGTCCACAGCATCCCTCATTGTCCTTTTGGTGTCTGCAGGTTCTGTATTGACATCCGTTTCATTCCTGACACTGGTAATTTGTGTCTTCTCATTTTCTTTGTCAGTCTCGTTAGAGGTTTGTCAGTGCTATTGATCTTTTCAAAGAACCAGCTCCTATTCTATTGATTTTTCTCTCGTTTTCCTGTTTTCAATTTCATTGATTTCTGCTCTTGTTTTTACTGTTGCCTTCTGATTTCTTTGCAATTGAGGTTTTTTTGTTTGTTTGTTTGTTTTTTTAGATTTTTTTTTATTGGGGAATTGGGGGGATGGGAACAGTGCTGGGGAATTGGGGAAAGGGGAACAGACAAGTTGCTGTCATTTTGTTCTTCAGTCTAGTTGTGGAGGATGTTGCTTCACTGGCCCAAGTTGGCACCATCATTGCGCTCTTCCCGAGCGAGGCAGATCAGTCGCCGGCTTCTGGACGGCCGCTCACTGCGGCTGCTGGCCGCTCACGCTGGCTGCTGGCCACACACAGTAGCCCATGGCAATCCACTGCCACAGGGACTGCAGCCCACGCCGTCGCCGGCGACTCATGGCAGCCCAGCTCCAGGTTGAGCTGTTGTTCAGCATCTTAGCTGTGGAAGGCAGTGTCACTGGCCCTCATATGTGGGATCTGAACCGGGGCCCTCTGGCATCCCAAGCGAGTTCTTAACCATCGCGCCACTCGGCCGGCCCTGCAATTGAGTTTTTTTATGTGTGTGTTTTGTTTTGTTTTTAATCCTTTTTCTGGGTTCTTGTGGGAGCTTGGATGACTGACTAGAGACTTCTCTAGTGTGCATTTATTGCTATAAATTTCCCTCTCCGACTGTTTTAGCTGCCCCACAAACTTTGACGTGTTGCATTTTCATTTTCATTCAGTTCCAGGTATTTTTTTGTTTGTTTTGTTTTTGGGGTTTTTTTTTTAAGATTTTTATTGGGGAATTGGAGGATGGGAACAGTGCTGGGGAATTGGGGAAAGGGGAACAGACAAGTTGCTGTCATTTTGTTCTTCAGTCTAGTTGTGGAGGATGTTGCTTCACTGGCCCAAGTTGGCACCATCATTGCGCTCTTCCCGAGCGAGGCAGATCAGTCGCCGGCTTCTGGACAGCTGCTCACGCTGGCTGCTGGCTACATACAGTAGCCCATGGCAACCCACTGCCACAGGGGCTGCAGGATACGCCGTCACCGGCGACTCACGACAGCCCAGCTCCAGGTTGAGCTGTTGTTCAGCATCTTAGCTGTGGAAGGCAGTGTCACTGGCCCTCATATGTGGGATCTGAACCGGGGCCCTCTGACGTCCCAAGCCAGTTCTTAACCATCGCACCACTCAGCCAGCCCCCAGGTATTTTTTGATATCCCTTGAGACGTGCTGTTTGACTCATGGATTATTTAGAAGCATATTGTTTACTTTCCAGGAATTTGGAGATTTTTCTTTTATCTTTCTATTATTAATTTGTAGTTTGATTCCATTGTGGTCAGAGAATGCATTATTTAATTTCTAAATTTGTTGAGGGCTTTGTTTGTTTTGTTTTGTTTTGTTTTTTTAATGGTCCAGTGTATTGTCTGTCTTGGCATATTTTCCACGGACACTGTTGTTGGGTGAAATGTTCTATAAACGTCCTTTGGGTCCTGTTAGTCAATGGTTGCTGAGTCCTATATTTTCAGTCAGTTATTGAGAGAACAGTGTTGAAATTTCACACTGTAACTGGGTTTGTCTATTTCTCCTTTTAGCCTCGCCAGGTTTTGGTTGACATATTTTGCAGCTCTGTTGTTTGGTGTGTATATGTTTAGGATTGCTGTGGCTTCTAGGTAGATTGACCTGTTATGTAACTTCCCTTTCTGACTCTGGTAATTTACTTTGCTCAATGTCTACTTTATCTGACAGTAATATTAGGTAGCCACTCCTGGTTTTGTTTGATTGTGTTTGTGATATATCTTTTCCTACCCTTTTACTTTCAGTCTGCCTATATCATTATATTTGAAGTGAGTTTCTTGTAGATAACCATATAGTTGGGTCCTGGTTTTTTAGTCCGCTCTGCCAATCTCTATTTTCTGATTGGTATATTTAGATAGTTTATATTTAATGTAATTATTGACATGTTAGGGCTTAAGTCTACCATTTTATTCTATATTTCCTGTTTGTCCTCTTTTTCATTTCACTGCTTTTTCCTGACTTCCTGTGAGTTTTTAAGTCAATATTTTTAAGTTCCATTTTTAAATATAATATTTTTTATCTTTTTTGTGTTTCTAGCCATTTTAGTAGTTGTCTAGGTGTGACATTTATATATACACATATCTTTCACAACCTGCTGGTATCATCATTTACTGTCCAAGTGAAGTGTGGAAATGTACCTCCCATTACATCCTTTCACCCTCCATTTAAAATACAGTTGTTGTAAATATTTCCTCTACTTAACATTTGGAACCATATCAGCCAGAGTTATAAATTTACTACAATCATAAAACATAATTTAGAAGACCCAAGAGGAGAAGGAAAGTCTGTTTTATTCACCCATATTTTTGCTTTCCATATTCTCTTCTCCTTCCTAAGATTCCTTCTGATATCATGTCCCTTCTGTTGGAGAACTTCCTTTAGCCATTCATTTAAAGTGACTAATTCTCTTAGTTCCCTTCATACAAGATTGTCTTAATTTCCCCTTCATTTCTAAAAGATATTGTCACCAGATATAGGATTCTGGGGAGACAGGTCTTTTCTTTCAGCTCTGAAGAATGGGGTACCACTGCCTTCTGGCTCCATGGTTTCTGATGAAAAATCCACTGTCATTTGTGTTGTTTTCCCCTCCAGGTAAGGTGTCACTTTACTCTTGTCTGCTTTCAAGACTTTATCTTTAATTTTCAGAGGTTGAATTATGATGTGTTTTGGCATAGATTTCTTTGGGTTTATCCTATGAGTTTGTGCATCTTGAATCTGTGGATTTCAGTCTTCTGCCACATTTGGGAAGTTTTCAGCCATTATTTTCCAAGTCCTTTTTCAGCTGCCCTCTCTCTCCTCTCCTTCTGGGATTCATCAGCATGAATGGGAAATCTTCTGTTACAGTGTCACATGTCCCCAAGGCCTTCTTCATTCTTTTTCCGGTCCATTTTTTCTCTCCTCTTCCGATTGGTTAATTTCTGTTGTTCTGTCCCCAAGTTCACTGATTCTCTGCCCCCAATTCTAACACCGACCCCACGTCCTGAGTTTTAATTGGGGTTATTATATTTCACAGTTTCAGAATTTCCCTTTTGGCTCTTCTTTGTTATCTAGTTTTTTGCAGAAATTCTGTTTCTCTGCTGAGTCTTAATTTTTTTTCATTGTGTCATTTGTGTTCTAATTGCTATTGAAATCGAATGATGGCTCCTTGAGAATCATAGTCAGATAATTCTAACATCTGTGTCTTGTTGGTGTCTGTTGATTAATTACCTTTTCACATTGAACCTGAGCTAGTCCTGGTTCTTGTTGTGAGTGACTTTTTTTTTTTTTTAAGATTTTTATTGGGGAATTGGGGAAGGGGAACAGACAAGTTGCTGTCGTTTTGTTCTTCAGTCTAGTTGTGAAGGACGTTGCTTCACTGGCCCAAGTTGGCACCATCATTGCGCTCTTCCTGGGCGAGGCAGATCAGTCGCCGGCTTCTGGATGGCCGCTCACGGTGGCTGCTGGCCGCTCACGCTGGCTGCTGGCTACACACCGTAGCCCATGGCAACCCACTGCCACAGGGGCTGCAGCCTACGCCGTCGCCAGCGACTCACGGCAGCCCAGCTCCAGGTTGAGCTGTTGTTCACCATCTTAGCTGTAGAGGGCAGTGTCACTGGCCCTCATATGTGGGATCCGAACCAGGGCCCTCTAGCGTCCCAAGCCAGCTCTTAACCAACGCGCCACTTGGACAGCCCGTGAGTGATTATTTTTTGAAACCAGGACATTTTGGGTATTTGGAGACTTGGAATCTTACTTAAACCTCTCTTATAGCCGTCTCCACTGAGCACCACTCTGGTGGGAGGGCCCCCCTAGTTACTCCCAGGTGGTGACGGGTGTCCCGATCCCCCGAGGTCTCTGCTGACACTGGGTCGGGGAGTGGGCTGGCGCATTACCTCCCAGAGGGGATGAAAATTTGGGCCCCTTCTCGGGCCTTCCTCAGAACCTTGGGCGGGTTGGAGATGGGAGCATGTTGCAGTGTGGTAAGGGTGTGGGCGAGGCTAAGTGTGTTCTGTGTGTTTGGGTGGAATTGGGTAGTTACTGCCTGCCCTGCTGGCTGCCCCTCTCCTGGTCCTTTAGCGAGAGCAGAATTTGTTACGGCTTTTTGTCTGCACCTAGGAGTCCTGGGCTGCAGATTGTAGGCCCTAGGTCTGGGACGTGGGAGCCCAGGAGGAAACCCAGGACTCCCCTGGCTGGTCAGCCTTCCCCACTTTTCGGAATCTCATATACGATGTCTGAGGTTTTGTTGTGCTTAGTGGGGAATTGGGATGAGTACGTATTGTCCACCTTCCTGGAAGCTGGCGGCTGTAGCCTGAGTTTCTCAGATGATTGAAGAGCTCAGAGGCAGAGCCTGTGGTGTTGAGGTTCAGCTGCCCCAAATGATCAGTTCAGGGGGTGGAAGTGAAGAACCACAGGTGTGGTGAGGCCAGGGGCTCTTCCTGCTGAAAGGCTGCGGGAAGCCAGGCTCTCCACACACCTCCCAGGTCACCTCCATGATCCAGGTGTTCCCACAGAGTATGCGTGGTGGACCGGCTTCCCTGAGGCCCTGTGGAGCGAGTGTTCTAGGAAAAGTGCCCCGTCTGGTTTCAGCTTTCCTGCGTAAACCGCAAGCTGGGCTACGAGTGGCTAGAGACGTGCGTGTCACCAGGCCCATGTGATGGGCAGACGAGCAGCGGGCAGTGGTGCAGAGCCTCACAACCACCACTCCTGCACGTTCCCACCTCCCCAAGAAAAGAGCCAGTTGCTTTCATTTTACTGAAACCAAAAGGGTTTGAGAATGTGCCTTTAGGACTAAAGAAATGGGTCCCGAAGGATCAGCTAGATAGAGGCTGCAGTCCAGGGCCTGAGCCAGCGTGTGGGGCACAGCGGGTGATTCCTGGCTACCATGTCTCCCTGAGACTCAGATATGCAGCTGCGTTTGCCCACGACCACTGGCACCCAGGCCAGGGACAGGCATCTGTCCAGCGGGGCGTGAGCCGGCCCTGCAGTGTCACCTGGCAGTTTCTTCCAAGTCTGTTCCCCTTTGAAGAGTATTGTTGCAACATGAAACCAGCACATGATGCCCGAGAAAGAGTCCTTCCGACACATTCCTCTCAGCTCAAAAGATGGTTTCACATGTAGAGGCACCCTACGCAGAGTCAGTGCTCCAAGACGTAGCAGCGATGAGTCGGCTGGGGCTAGTGAGCGATCAGTCGGTTAACTAGAGAGCGGTTAGCTGGGCAGATGGTGATTAGTCGGTTAGTGATCAGTTAACTAGTGAGCGATCAGTCATTCAGGCAGTGATTGGTCAGCTAGCGAGCGATTAATTGGTGACTCATGTTAGTCCTGGGTTGGGGATAGAGAGAGCTGACCTGGGACAGCCGAGACGGTCTGGAGAGCAGGCCTAGAGTGTGCGAATGGCTCTCCCAGGAGAAGCGACCGTCCTTGGACCGCTGTGTGGCCCCCGCTCTGCTGCCCGGCAGCCCTCCCGCAGACCCATCAGCTTCTTGATGACTGTCCTTTCTCATTCTCCCTTCCATACAACTGCTGTTGTCACCTAAGTTACATATGACCTCTTCTATACCAATTCCTCACTTTCTGCTTAAATTCCCTCCTTAACTATTTTTCATTTGCTTTCTGACTGACTTATCCAGTGTCTTCAAACCAGAATTAGTTGGTGTCTTTGGGACCTTGAAATATCTTTTTTCTCTAAATTATGAATGGTTGGTATACTGGACTAATATATGTATATATGAGCTTTGTTCTCACTTACCTATGACACCCAGTAATATTTTCAGGTTCCGTTTGTTGCTAAATTTTGTGTTTCTGGCTTTAAAATAGTATTTATTTTCATGTATATCAGAGGTTTTTATGATTTTTGTCTTCTTTTTCTCTCCCCTGGGGAGCCTCTTCCCCTTTCCATAAACTGCGCCCCGTGCGGCTGTGCCATGTCTCCTCGCCCCGCAGGGTTCTACGGCCTGGACGAGTCTGACCTGGACAAGGTCTTCCACCTGCCAACCACCACGTTCATCGGCGGGCAGGAGTCCGCACTTCCCCTGCGGGAGATCATCCGGAGGCTGGAGGTGAGGACTCAGCGCTTCCCAGAAAAACCTGGGCTGGCGGGAGGCCTCCCGACGAGGCTGGTTTTCCTTGGTCCTACATTTTTTAAAATGTAAGGGAAACAGAGCTTTTCTTTTGCTATTTTGTGGATAAAAATCCATGTTTTTTATTTTTACAGTCAGCCATAGAAAGGAGAAAAAAAATATGTGCGTTTTAATCCCAGTGGGAGTTTAATTCAGATATGGGAGGTCCCCAGCGTATATGCCCAAACCCAGGCTGCCCGCTGGTGTCCCCGGTCCCTCATCTTACCATTTCTTCTCTCCTCCTCTCTGGACTTGGTGGGCAGTAAGCCTGCGGGGCACACTACACACACACGCCCCCTACACACCCCTCAATTTACACTGTCACAGCGGGCTCTGGTGTGTGTGTGTGAGGGTGGGCCTGTTCCCCTCTGCCATGTGGCTGAGTGGGCAGTCAGCACAGCTGGGTGGACACCCCTGACTGTGTGTGGAACAGATGGCCTACTGTCAGCACATCGGGGTGGAGTTCATGTTCATCAACGACCTGGAGCAGTGCCAGTGGATCCGGCGGAAGTTTGAGACGCCAGGGGTCATGCAGTTCACCAACGAGGAGAAGCGGACCCTGTTGGCCAGGCTCGTGCGGTCCACCAGGTATGGGCTGCACTCAGGGCAGGCCTGTCCGTGCCGGGGGGTGGGGGGGTGGGGGGGTAGGGAGGGGCGCAGCCCATCGGGAGCAGCGTTGGCCCTGGGACGTGCTCTTCAGGGCAGCCTGGTCCCATCCAGGTTTGAGGAGTTCCTGCAGCGGAAGTGGTCATCCGAGAAGCGCTTCGGTCTAGAAGGCTGCGAGGTGCTGATCCCCGCGCTCAAAACCATCATCGACAAGTCCAGTGAGAACGGTGTGGACTACGTGATCATGGGCATGCCACACAGGTACCTGCCGCCCCTGCCTGGCTGCAGCCCGGGCGCTCGCCTGGCCCTCAGGTACCCCCGCTCCAGAGGGACTGTTGCCACGGTGTCCCCTTCATTGCGGGCACTGTCACGCCCAAGGCCACAGGTGGTTTCAGACAGGCATCATAGGCTGGTGTTGAACCCGAGCACCCTTGTCGGGGTCCCAGCAGAGGGAGGCTAACCCGGAGGGAAGGCTGCTTGGTGACACGAGCAGAGACGTTTCCACCTTCCTCCTGCCTCGCCGTGGCCTTGGGTGCCGGGCAAGCGGAGGCGGGGTGTCCCTCAGCAGCTCTGGTCTCAGCTTCTCCTGGGCAGCAAAGTGAGGTGCTTCCTATCCCTCGGGGCTGGGGGGATGCCTGGGTCGCCGCTCCAGCCCTGCTCACCCCCGTGTGTCCCAGGGGTCGGCTGAACGTGCTCGCCAACGTCATCAGGAAGGAGTTGGAGCAGATTTTCTGTCAGTTCGATTCAAAGCTGGAGGCAGCTGATGAGGTGAGGTGCCTGGTTTCCTTTAGAAGCTTCTAGCGAAGCTGCGCTAGCTTCTCGGGAAAGACAGCAGGGCTGAGGTCTTCGTCCCATTCACAAAGCAGGTGGCCAGCTGCCGACCTCTTGGAGAAAAGAGGGCCGGCCCTGTGTCCTGAGTGGGAGCCACTGTGGGCAGAGCTTTCGCATCCTTCCAGGGATGGGGTGCTGGGAGAAAAGGTGGCTCCCAGGGCTGCCGTGTGCTGCCCAGGATCGAGCCTCGCCATTCGCCCTGCAGGGCTCTGGGGACGTGAAGTACCACCTGGGCATGTACCACCGGCGGATCAACCGTGTGACGGATAGGAACATCACCCTGTCGCTGGTGGCAAACCCTTCCCACCTCGAGGCCGCCGACCCCGTGGTGATGGGCAAGACCAAAGCCGAGCAGTTTTACTGCGGGGACACCGAGGGGAAGAAGGTAAGGCCACAGGGGCCGGCCGGCTGCTCTGGGAGCGTGTGCAGCCCCAGGCACGTCTCAGACCTCTCGTTTCTGGAATGTGGCAGTTTTGCGATCGGACCTGGAAAGAGTAGCAGTGGTGGTGTCCTGCCTACGGGCCTGCATTCTCCCGAGTGGTGACAGCAGCGCTTGGAGGCACTGGTCTGCTTCCCGTCTTGTGGAATGTCCCAATGGACAGAGGCGTTGGCACCAAGCAGGAGGGCGAGGCTGCGCAGGTGTGGGGTGGTCTGAGGGACAGGTGTGAGCAGGTGGTTGCGTGGACGCTGGGTGGCACCATGTGCTGCCGACTCTTCCAGGCGTGTGCATGGATGCTGGACGCTGCTGGGCCAGCCCATCGTGCACAGAAGCCTCGATGGAGTGTGACTGTCGGTCCTGGTTTGATCTCAAGGCAGAAGTCTGTCTGCAACAAATCATGTAGCTCTTACTACTTTACAACCTCAGAGCCTCGCAGGCAACAAAAGCAGGCGTTTGTGAGTGACGGCCGCTTCAAGCCTCTCGCTCTTTCTAGAAAGTAGGTCCCCTGTGAGGAGGCAGGAGAGCACATGGGGTGGGTAAGCTGGGGAGGGGCCGAAGTAGGGGTTGGGGCGGGCGGGCCGTGTGCTGGGGTCGGAAACGGAAACAGAGGCAGCACCTGTCAACCCCCTCCCACCCCCCCCCCTTGAAGAATCAGCCAGTGGGGAAGTGGGAAGGAAGAAACATTCCCTGGAGATGGCAGATAGGGACGAAGATGGAGGTGGGCCGGGCGCTGCCCTACAGGTGCCCTGGAGGGTCAGACGTTTCAGAGGTGGAACCAAGTGTCAGCCTCGCGTTCTAGTTTGAAACACCGAGAGTCTGCTAGACCTGTGCTCGGAGGATGAGGCAAGAAGCTGCTGTCAGAGGTGATGGGGTCTGGGCCGGTGTGGCCTTGGGACAGGAAGCGGTGCCTGCGAGGACCGACGCCCCCCTAGAGCACGTGTGGCCTGCTGGGAGGATGGCGGGCTTGGGGCCTGGATGGGGCCACAGAAATCTCAAGGAGGCAGAACGGCCCCTCCGAGCAGCCCCCCGGGGCCCCTGATGACATGGTGGCCAGGAGGGATGGGGGACCTGCATCGCTGACCAGTGTCTCCATCATTCCCACTGTCCTTGGTGGGACATTCAGGGCCCGGGAGGGGAACAAGATTGCAAAAAGCTTTGTGTGACATCCAAACTCATAAATGACAGACAAAAGCCACTCAGGCAGTGCTCACTTGGAATGTTGAAAAAATCGTGAAAAGGAGTGAGATAAGTCTTCAGATGATCACATCATTGGTCCTGGCAGGGGTGCAGGCCGGGGGCTGGGTAGCCCTGTGTGGTCACAGGCATTTGTTTTAGGGCGTGGGCCGTGTGGGGGCAACAGGCCTGTGTCTCAGTGAGGGAGGAGGAGGCACAGGAAGGGACCGGACTGGAACTGGAGGCGTCGTTCCACGTCTGTGCAGATTCGGAAATCCCCATGTGCACACGGCCCTTCACGACTGCTTTCCATCTCTGCCGGAAGGGCCTGGAAGGGACGCTGTCCCAGTTAGCAGTGACGCTCAGACGCTGCCCTGCTGGCAGTGCCAGGCTCCTGAGGGAAATGTCATTGCGGGGCTGGGCTCCATGCCACATCGGGACAGTGCAAGCATCGCAGGATGACTGACCCATGGGTCTCCAAATAAATAGAAGGTGGGCGGGGGCCTCTTGCAGAACGCTGGTGAGTAGATGTAAGGTGACACCTGGTGGCTCCGGGGGCCCCAAGGGACAGGATATGGAGGTTCTCCTCACAGTCTGTCCACTGTTCTTGTTACCGAGGAGAAATAGTGAATTTAAGAGAGTGATGGCTGCCTGTCCAGGTGATCAGAGCAGACCTCACCGGCACGGGATCTCCTGGTGTGACGTGTGCCATTCTTGAGCCTGGTCACACAGGACCGTCAGAACCCAAGGCCTGTCCAGGATGGGCGAGGCGTCAGAGAAGCCGACGAGGGCTGGGGTCTGGACCAGCACTGCCTTCCCAGGGGGTCCTGCGTGACTGGTCAGGGTGGTGGACACTGGCTCTGCAGCAGACAAGGGGTGGGAACATCGTGCTGCTCACAGGGCTCAGGCTGGGAGGGCCCTCCTGCCACTTGCTTTTAAAGTTTGAAATTATCTCAAAAAATGTTATCTTTTGAAAAGTGGGTTGTGACCTTCACCTCCAGTGTGCCGTGTGGAGGTGGTGGTCTGGGCCATGTTGGATTTGGGACCTCCTTGTGTGTCTGCAGGTCATGGCCATCCTCCTGCATGGGGATGCCGCCTTTGCCGGCCAGGGAATCGTGTACGAGACCTTCCACCTGAGTGACCTGCCATCCTACACGACACATGGCACCGTGCATGTCGTCGTCAACAACCAGGTAACCCGGTCGGTGTATGGCCCCACTGCCTCCGGAGGGCTCTGCTCACGCCAGCCTTACTTAGAGGGACAGCTCGTAGTTTCTGAGAATGCTTGTGCTTTTCTGACAGTAAAAAACATGCTGTTATAAAAAATGTGCACAACAGAAAGCTTCCTGACAGTGGAGAGATTTTAATTACCCTATTTAATTACCCTATTAAGACAGTTATATTTTAAAGTATTTTTTCTAGGCCTCCAGGCATATAGACGGCATTTTTCTGTATACAGTTTTATATCCATTTCTTATTTACCACATTATTTTCTCATGTCATTGTATACTCTTAAAATAACTTTAATGGAAATATCCATTATAGGTTGTTTCGTAAAATACACGTTGCCGTTTTGTTAGACTTTTAGGTCTCATTTTTCACTATTTTAAATAATGCTGAGATGAACATTCTTGGAAGTAAATATGTCTGCCCAGCTCTGACCCAGGTCGCTGTTACGCATCTGTTACTTCCTCCACCAGCCTTATCCAAGGGTGCATGTCACCAGCGGGTGTGAACTTCCATTTAATAAATGCAGCTTACTCTGCGCCTCCCTCAATGCCAAAAGCAGTGGGCATCTTCCCCGGCATACCAGCCGTCTGTGTATCTTTTTTGGTAAAGAGTTTGGTCAGTGTTTTGCCTATGGGGGGTGGTATTTGTTTTATTATTAATATTTGAGAGTTCTTTATGGCTTCATGGATGCAAGGCCCTTGTCAGAGATGTGGTTTGCAAAGATTTTCTCCCTGTCTGTGGCTTATCTTCATTCTCTTACCAGTCTCTTCCACAGAGCAAATGTTTTTATGTTGATGAAGTACAAGTTATGAATTTTTTTCTTCTATGGATCACATTATTGGTGTCAGATCTAAGAAAGCTTGGCCTTTCCAAACTCACAAAGATTTTCCCCCATCTTCTAGAAGTTTCATAATTTTGTGTTTTATACTTAAGTCTATGCTGTATTTGGATAGTTAGAGTTTCGAGGTTCTTTTTCTTGCTTATAGATATCCATTTGTTCCAGTAGATTTGTTGAAAGGATTTTTTGTTGTTGAAACTGAATTGACCATATATATGTGGGTCTGTTCTGATTCTCTGTTGTTCCATTGATCTAATTGTCTGTACACTGTCTTGATTACTGTAGCTTTATTGTCAGTCTTAAAATCAGGTTGTGTGAGTCCTCCAACTTTGTTACTTTTCAAAATTGTTTTGGCTATTCTAGGTTGTTTGCTTTTCGTATAAACTTGAAAATCAGGTGGTCCATTTCCACAAAAAAATTCTGCTAGTATTTTGATTAGAAGTATGCTGAATCAATAGATCAGTTTGAGAAGAATCACAGTCTTGACAATATTGAGCCTTCTAATCTGAGAACATTGTAAATCTCTCCATTTACTTAGATTTTCTTTGTTTCTCTCACAGGTATTTTGTAGTTCTCAGCATGCAGATCCTAAACGTGTTTTGTTAGATTTATACCAAAATATTTTATTAACTTGGAGCTTTTACAAATGGTACTTTTTACATTTTTAAATTTCCAATTGCTGCTAGGATATAGAAATAGAATTTAGTTTTATATTTTGTACAGTTTATTTTTGTATCCCACAACCTTAACTAAACTCACAGTTAGTAGTTTTTTGTGGGTTCTTTGGAATTTTCTATATAGACAATTGTGTGGTTGCAATTAGAGACAGTTTTTCTTCTTTTCCAGTCTATACATATATATGCCTTGTATTGATTTTTCATACTTCACTGCACTGGCTGGGATCTCAACAAAGTGTGGAAGTGGGCGAGAGTGGAGGTCCTTCATCCCCGTTTTAGGAGGGAAGCATTCAGTCTTCGGTCCGATCTGATGATAAGTCTCATGCTATCTGTAGGTTTTCTGTGGATGTCCTTACCAGGTTTCTGTTCCCAATTTGCGGACAGTGTTTTTCATGAGTGAAGTTTGTTTTTGTCACATACTTTTCCGCATCTATTAAGATGATCATGTGGTTTGCTAATAGTAAATTCCATTCATTGATTTTTGAATGTGGAATTCTTGTGCTCGTGTTCATGAGAGATGTTGGTCTGTAGTTTTCTTGTAATGTCTTTGTGGTTTTGTTTTCAGGGTAATGCTGACCTTATAAGTTGGAAAGTGTTCCCTCCTCTTTTGTTTTCTGGAAAAGTTGCTGTAGAATTGATATTATTTGCTCTGTACACATTTAGTAGAATGTGCCAATAAAAGACTTTCGGGACTAGAGTTTTCTTTAGGGGAAAGTTATTTTTTTCCTTTCTCTTTCGTTTTCAGAAGTTCAACTGTATATGTCTTGGCATGTATTTCTTTGGTTTTTACCCTGTTTGAGTTTGCTTAGCTTTTTCTTTTTTTTTTTTAATTCCTGTGTTTTCCTCTAAGTTTTGTAGTTTTAGTTCTTAAGTCTGTGGTTTATTTTAAGTTAACTTTTGTGTGTAACACAAGGAAAGGGCCCGGCTTCATTCTTCTGTACATGGATTCCAGTTGTTCCTACATCGTTTGTGGGAAAAACCTATCTTTCCCCATTGAATTGACTTGAGATCATTCAGCTGCTTGAGTATGTAGATTGTATCTTTTGACAAGTTTAGCATATTTTCTTTTTTTAAAGATTTTATTGGGGAATTGGGGGAGGACAAGTTGCTGTCCTTTGGCTCTTCAGTCTAGTTGTGGAGGATATTGCTTCACTGGCCCATGTTGCTATTATCACTGAGCTCTTCCCGGGTGAGGCAGTTGCTTGCCGGCCATTGGACGGCGGCTCACGGCAGCTCACTGTAGCAGAGACTGCAGCCTACTCCATCACTGGCGACTCACCGCAGCCCAGCTCCAGGTCGAGCTGTTGTTCACCATCTTAGCTGTAGAGGGCACAGCGTCACTGGCCCTCATGTGGGATCCGAACCTGGGCCTTTCTGCTCAGAGCTGGTGTCCCAAGCCAACTCAACCAATGCACCACTCAGCCGGCCCAAATTTGGCAAATTTTCAAACATTCTTTCTTTTGTTTTTTCTTTTTTTTAACCACCTTCACCCTTTTGCCTACCCCACCCAACCCCATCTGGCAACCACCAATCTGTTCTCTGTATCTGAGTTCAGGTTTTGTTTCATTTTATTTAGATTCCACACATAAATGAGATCATATAGTGTTTGTCTTGCTCAGTCTGACTTATCGCACTTAGCATGATGTCCTCTATGTATATCCACATTGTCACAAATGGTAAGATTTCATTCTTTTTTATGGTCGAGTGGTCTTCCATTGTCTATATACCACCTCTTCTTTATCCATCTATCGGTGGACACTTGGGCTGCTTCCATATCTTGCCTATTGTAAATAATGCTGCAGTGAACAGGAGTGCATATATCTTTTCAAATCAGTGTTTTAGATTTTTTCGCATAAATACCCAGAAGTGGGATTGCTGGATCCTATGATAGTTCTATTTTTAATTTTTTGAGGTATCTCCATTCTGATTTCCATCGTGGCTACATCATTTACATTCTCATCAACAGTGCACCAGGGTTCCCTTTGTCTACATCCTCGCCAACTATTGTTGTTTGTGGATTTATTGATGATGGTCATTCTGACAGGAGTGAGGTGGTATCTCATTGTGGTTTTTATTTGCATTTCTCTAATGGTTAGTGACTTTGAGCATCTTTTCATGTCTGCTGGCCATCTGTATGGCCTCTTTGGAGAAATGTTTATTCAGGTCCTCTGCCCATTTTTTAATCAGATTGTTTTTTCCTATTGAATTGTGTGAGTTCTTAACATATTGTGGATATTAATCCCTTATCAGAGAAATGATTTGCAAATATCTTCTCCCGCTCAGCAGGCTGTCTTGTCATTTTGCTGATGGTTTCCTTTACTGTGCAGAAGCTTCTTAGTTTGATAGAGTCCCACTTGTTTATTTTTACTTTTTGTTACCTTTGCTTTTGGTGTCAAGGAGCCTGCCATCTCTGTTTTCTTCTAAGAGTTTTATGGTTTTGGGTCTCATGTCTAAGTCTTTAATGCTTTTTGAGTTTATTTGTGTTTGGTGTAAAGTTGGGGTCCGGTTTCGTTCCTTTGCATGAAGGCTGTCCAGCTCTCCCAGCACCGTTTACCGGTGAGACTGGCCTTTCCCCCTTTGTGTGTTCTTGGCTTGTTTGTTGTAAATTAATTGACCATGTAAGTGAGGGTTTATTCCTGGGCTCTCTATTCTGTTCCACTGACCAATGTGTTTGTTTTTATGCCAGGACCACTCTGTTTTGGTTACCAGAGCTTTGTAATAAATAATGAACCCTCAGACTTCCTTCTCTTTGCTCTCCTGACTGCTCCTGACACCATCGGTCATGACGCGGTGCGGAGCCCCTGGGTCTGTAGCAGGAAAGGAAGCGACTGCTTTGCTTGTTCCTGTCTCTAAGAGCGTACCTAGGATCCCTCCTTCTACGGCTCTCTCCAAAGAAAGCCATCAGAAGCTAAAGATTTTTGTATGTGTGTCAAAACCATAGCTGTACTGCTACGAAATTAGGAAATAAGCTATATGTCCCTTATTAGAGGAGTCTTTGCATAAATTTTGGCCAAGCCGTAGGAAGCGACATTATATAATCGTTAAAATATTTACCCTTCTGGGGAAATGGTCACAATATGGTGCCTGGAAATACAGGGCACTGTGCGCTGCTGGTCGGAGTGTCCATGGCACAAGCACCTTGGAGAGCAGTTTGGTGGCATCAGAGCCACCTACGATGCTGGTGCCCTGTGGCTGGGCCTTCCCTTTGCAGAAGTACAGTCGTCCCCCCTTTTCCGTTGTTTTGCTTTCCTCAGTTCAGTTACCCATGGTCAACCACAGTTCAGAAATCTTACGTGGAGTATTCCAGAAATAAACCATTCATAAGTTTTAAATTGTGTGCTGCTTGAGTAGTGTGATGAAATCTCACACATCCCTCTCGGTCCTGCCCAGGACGTGAAACAGCTCCTGGTCCAGCATTGTATTCATGCTGTAGACACTCAGTGGTCTTCTAGGGCGTCAGGTCAGTTGTCAGAGGGACCACATTCATGTAACTTTTACTACAGCATATTGTTACAATTGTTCTATTTTATTGTTATTGTTAATCTCTCACTGTGCTTAATTTATAAATTAAGCTTTATGATAGGTATGTATGTATAGGAAAAACATAGTATAAATTGGGTTCAGTACTGTCCAAAGTTTCAGGCATATTTGGAGGCCTAGAACATATTTCCTGCAGATAAGGGGGGGTGCCTGTATACTTTAAGTCCCCGACTTACAAACGAGGTCCGTTCCGGGAGAATGTTCACAAGTCGGATTCGTTCCTAAGTCCGACTTGGGTGCATGATTGGCTGCATCTGTGGAAGTTAGCAACTCAAATGTTCGTAAGTTGGGGACTACAGAGAAACCCAGTGTTTGCTGGAGAAAACCTGGGTCAGAATGTGTCCAGTGGCAGAGCATTAACCCCAACTGGAAACGACTAAATGGAGGGTGAGTAACTACGGTGATGCGTGCTGTTGGTTCTTCAGCGCTACGCAGAGGTCCTGCTTCCACCTGTCTGAGCCATACAAACAAATGTTGAACAGAAAGCAAGTTGCAAAGCATTTGCACAACACATAGGGTGGTGGTACCACACATGAGGTACGTAGAGTGTATCTCCATGGTTTAAAAGACATGGAAATACTCTTCAAAAGTGTCACTGCCATGAAAAACCAAGAAAGGCAGGGGGCCCTTCCAGATTAAGGGAGACTAGAGAGAGGTGACAGCTGATGCCAGGCGATAGGCTGGACTGGATGAGACTGGACAGCATTAGGACATCACTGGGAGAGTCGATGGAATATCATGGAATATGCAAGAGACTTGAGTGTCAGGTAACAGTGTTCTATAACATTAATCCCTCGGGCTGAGAACTGCTCTCTGGGCTAGTAAGGGGATGTCCTTGTTTTGGGAAATAGGGACGGTCTGCATCTTACCCTCAGGAAAAGTGTGTGCATGCATGTGTAGTGGAAAGAGTGTGAATCATAAAAGAGACAAAGTGGAAACAGCTGGTGAGTCAGAGGAAAGGTTTTGAGGGGAGTTTTGTATTCTTTAAACTTTTTCATAAATCTGAAATTATAGCAAAATGTAAAGTCACCAACAAGCCTAAGAAGATGCTGTATATGTTGTTTAGAGACATGAAACACACATAACAACATGTGGAAATGATGTCCCTCCCCCCCTTCAGGGCTGGCGAGGGCAGAAATGTGTTATTTCATTCTAAGGAACAGGAAAAGGCCTGATACGAGGATTTATTCCTGTTGGGTTATGAGTTGAGTTCCTGGGTGATAATTATAGTATTATCATACTTTCTGTATGCGTGAAGTATTTCATAAAAATGGTGTTTAGATGCATGTTGTAAAATTATAAATATATAATTAGTTTTTGGCACATATAAGTGGTGAGGAGTATTATGAAGCCTTTAGCTTTTCAAAGAAAAAAATGCTGATAATGTTAAGTGAACAAAGTGCAAAATTACAGATAATAGGATCTGAAATTTTAACTATTGCACGTAAAGAAAATCCTCTGGAAAGAAAAGCATCAAAATATTTACACTGTAGCTGTTGGGAGTATAGGTAACTGTTTAAATTTTTTATACTGTTTTCAGAACTCTGTTGAACATGTATAAATTTTGTTATCAGAATAGGAGAAAATAAAACAATTTTTTAAAATCCTAAATAGCCATTTGGGCATATGCTCAGAGTAGGCCAAGTGCCCGGCCAGCCCTTAGCCCCGCCTTCATCCCTGGCTGTGCCCAGTCCCGCCCTTGTCTCTGCTCTGGTCACTCCCCTGTCCCACCTGCACCTTCCCTGCACAGACCCCATCTGCCCTTGGCCCTGCCTTGACTCCTGGCCCCCACTTGCCCCCACTTGCCCCCAGCCCCATGAATGTGCCCCAGGCCCCCTGGCCAGGCTCTGTGTCTTTTGCAGATTGGCTTTACCACAGACCCGCGCATGGCCCGCTCCTCGCCGTACCCCACCGACGTTGCCCGTGTCGTGAACGCCCCGATTTTTCACGTGAACTCGGACGACCCAGAGGCCGTCATGTACGTGTGCAAGGTGGCTGCTGAGTGGAGGAATACCTTCCACAAGGATGTGGTGGTGGACCTGGTGAGTGGCCCCCATCGTGGAGAGAGGGCTCAGGGCTGCCAGCCTGGGGTCACCTGCAGCCGCTCCCAAGAGCTCCTGGGTCTCTGGCCTGGAAATGAGCTGAGCTGTGGAAGAAGGTAGTTGGGGTCCCGTCCCGGCCTATTCCCAGGTTGCTCTCATTTTAGCTCACGTGACAGAGCAACTGTAGCGTGTGAAGGAGAGACAGACAGGACCCCAGTTTTATAGGAGGTAAACCCAGGCATCCCATGGTCCCTGACGCTGGCGTCCCGGGCTGTCTCCAGGTGTGTTACCGGCGCAATGGCCACAACGAGATGGATGAGCCCATGTTCACGCAGCCGCTCATGTACAAGCAGATCCGCAAGCAGAAGCCGGTGCTGCAGAAGTACGCGGAGCTGCTCGTGTCTCAGGGCGTCGTCAACCAGCCGGAGTATGAGGTGCGTGCGCCTGCCCGCGAGCTCTCAGAGCGGGGCCGAGGAGCGGGCACGGGGCCAGTGCTTGCTCTGGCAGAGCTGCTAGTCTAAGTGCGAACGTGTGACGTACTTACAAATACAGCATTTCGCTACATAACATCCCGGAGCGTGCAGGCACCTGAGGAGTCCCACGGAAGAAGTGGGACCTGAGCACGGTGGCCACGGCACATGCTTTCTAGCTGACAGTCCAGTGTACGGGATGAGGGGCGGCTGCATGTCCAGCTCCGTAGAGGGCCTGATGTGTCTGGGCAGTTCTGTTTGGCGACCATGAGTGGGAGGCACGTGCAGAGCGCCGCTGGCAGGCTGGGGACGCAGCAATGCTGGAAGGGGCTCTGTGGCTCCACCCTGAAAGAAAGTAGGCGGGGCCGGGGTCCACAGAGCAGATATGCCGGAGCAGATATGCCACAGATGTGGGGAAGGAACTATAGGGTGGATCGCCTTAGATCTCAGGGGCTGTGCGTGGCAGGGCGGGGTCCTGTGCAGAGCGCCCCTCATGGCTGTGCTGTGCCCGCCCACCAGGAAGAGATCTCCAAATACGACAAGATCTGTGAGGAGGCCTTCGCCAGGTCTAAGGACGAGAAGATCCTGCACATCAAGCACTGGTTGGACTCCCCCTGGCCTGGTGAGCGGGGAGTGTCACCAACGAACTCCCCCCCCGACCCCCCCACTCCGTCACCCCTCGTGCTCATGGGAGTGTGATGGAGGCGCTGGGTATTTCTGTAACACTGGTAGCATGCCAGCTTGTCCCTCCCATCCTAGGCTTCTTCACCTTGGATGGGCAGCCCAGGAGCATGTCCTGCCCCTCCACGGGCCTGACGGAGGACGTCCTGACGCATATTGGGAACGTGGCCAGCTCTGTGCCAGTGGAGAACTTTACCATTCATGGAGGTGAGGAGGCCGCCCTAACCTTTGAAGCTTCCTCCAGCAAGGGCCCGGTCCCCGCCCACCGCGTCCCACAGTGTCCAAGGCAATGTGGTTGAATTTGGGAAGCCCTCTCCTCCTCTCACGCCTGCCCAGTGTGTGATCCTCGCTGGCTGCAGTGGAGGAAAGGATGGGTCGTCACAGCCGTCCCCTTCCCCACGCTCCCCACAAGGCTTGCTTTTGTCATGAGAGGCCAGGTGGCTGTGAGCACCCTGTCTCTGCAGGGCTGAGCCGGATCTTGAAAACCCGTGGGGAGATGGTGAAGAACAGGACCGTGGACTGGGCCCTGGCGGAGTACATGGCTTTCGGCTCGCTCCTGAAGGAAGGCATCCATATCCGGTTGAGCGGCCAGGACGTGGAGCGAGGCACTTTCAGGTAGGACGTGCGGGGCCCGCGGGAGGCGGGTGCGGAAGGTCTGTGCTCCTCTCCCAGGGCGCCTGGCCTGGTCGCCGTCTCAGGCCCCAAGCACGCTGCCCTGCTCTGACCTGGACGCTTCTGCCACGAGCTGAGCTTTGTGGCTCTGCGGCCTCTGGGGCGTCCGGGGCCTGCCCCCGCCTGCTCACCTGTGCTGTCCTGCCGCAGCCACCGCCACCATGTGCTACACGATCAGAATGTGGACAAGAAAACCTGCATCCCCATGAACCACCTGTGGCCCAACCAGGCTCCCTACACCGTGTGCAACAGCTCCCTGTCCGAGTACGGGGTTTTGGGTGAGTGAGTGCCCTGCCCCGCGACCCCCACACCCCCGCCCCCTCCCCTGCAGCCCTTCTGACATCCCCCGCCCTGCAGGCTTTGAGCTGGGCTTCGCCATGGCCAGCCCCAACGCCCTGGTGCTCTGGGAGGCCCAGTTTGGCGACTTCCACAACACGGCTCAGTGCATCATCGACCAGTTCATCTGCCCCGGACAAGCCAAGTGGGTGCGGCAGAACGGCATCGTGCTGCTGCTGCCCCATGGCATGGAGGGCATGGTGAGGCCACCCCCAACCCCCAGAAGGTGGCTAGGCGCCCAGGTGGCCCACCACACAGCACAGCATGCTCTGAGAACAGGGTCCATGTGGGCACTAGGAAACCCGGGGCCCAGGAGGGGGCGCTGGACCCTGCCCTGGGGCGGGGAAGAGGGGGGCGAAGGCCCCTCCTCCTGTGAGTGGGGGGGAGGGGTCAACTGCCAGCAGGAAAACAGCTAAGATGGCCTTTGCTTAAGAAGTGCAGCTGTCAGCACCTGCAAAGCTCCCCAACTGTGACTTGTGTGTATGGTTCCAGGGCCCCGAGCATTCCTCCGCCAGGCCAGAGCGTTTCCTGCAGATGTGCAATGACGACCCAGACGTCCTGCCGGTGAGCGAGTGCAGGCCTCTGCCCTTCGCAGGAGCCCGCGGGGGCGGGTGACGGGCCTTCCTGGGGCCCAGAGGAGCGTGTCCCTACCTGCCGCTCCCACCTCCTGCTGCAGGACCTGTGACTGCTGCAGTGGAACCATTTAGAATAACTGTGTTTTGATTCAGGCAAACGTTTTAGAGGAAGTAACGTGGGGAGGGGAGGTCATCTTAGTAAAACTTGAAGAGCTGAAAGAAAGCGATAGGGAGTCCGCTGTAAGGCAGACCAGCACTGCCGTCCCAGGCCAGGCTGAGTTTTCAGAGCAGTGGGAGGGATGGAGCAGAGGCCCGGGGCTGCGCCTGTGCCTGCCTCTGTGTGCATCTGCAGGGCCGCTGCAGCGCCTGACGCTCTCTGGCCTTGCCCTCCTCGCTGCAGGACCTCACGGAAGCCAACTTCGATATAAACCAGCTGTATGACTGCAACTGGGTTGTCGTCAACTGCTCCACACCCGGCAACTTCTTCCACGTGCTGCGTCGCCAGATTCTCCTGCCTTTCCGGAAGCCGGTCAGTAGGGGTGTCCTTGCTCAGAGAGACTTGGCCGGAGGAGCCCAGGGCCCCAGCCCAGTGGGAGGATGGACATGTGAGCGGGTGGCCATAGGTGGTGTACTGAGCTTGGAAGAGAGGGGAGCCCAGCAGGGGCCGAGGGAGCAGATGGTCCCCAAGAAGTGGGCTCCTGAGCAGGGTGTTGAAGGATGCGTAGGAGAGTGTGTGAAGGGCCGGGGTGGGGGAGAGCCCCATGCCTCTGCCGGTCAAAGTGCAAGTGCCAACGGGCCCACAGGACAGCTTCCCAGAGGCTCGGGCTCTTCCCTGGGTCCAGGGTAGGGGTGCCTGGGGCTCAGGGCGGGCTGGCACGGGCCCTGGAGGAGCGGACACCTGGCTAGGCAAAGCCTAGCCTCTCGGGGCAGGGACAGGTGGACAGGGGGAAACAGCACCGCCCCATTCCCCCCTTTATGCCTCTGTCCTATGGCTTGTCCTGACCGCAGAGCTGGGAGGGCAGCGCCAGCTCAGGTGCCCCATCCTGAGACGAGGCCTGGGCAGCCCCTTGCTGCTGACCCTTCTGGAGTCATTAGGACCTGGTCCACCATGAGCCTGTGGTTCTGTGTTTCAGTTAATCATCTTCACCCCCAAGTCGCTGCTGCGGCACCCTGAGGCCAGGACCAGCTTCGACGAGATGCTTCCAGGTGGGTGAGGGGATGGGCATTTGGGGGATCTTGGCTGCTGTTCAGTGGGGTTTTGGGGCTTGTACTTGTCCCCTTGCCACATTTTTGGTCATTGGGTGAAGACTGGAATACAACAGCATGCACATCAGAGCTTCCATGCGAGTTGGTGAAAAGATGTGTCTCATGTCTGCTGGGTCTGTGACCATCGCCTGGGGGTGTCCCCAGGACTCCCTGTAGAGGCAGTGAAGTGAGTCTGAGCTTAGAGTTCCCCCCACCACCTGGCAGCAGCTCACCACCAGGGCCAGGAAAGGAACGGGGTGGGTAGGGCCTGTGGAGCTCCACGCAAGCTCACGGTGTCAGGCGAGGCTCACGGCACTGAGTGTCCACTCGGTCAGTGGGCAGCAGGCAGCTGACGCAGCGTGGAGCAGCCCCGCACGTGCCCCGCTCACGGGGCCCAGGGAGCCCACGTCCTTCCTCCCAGCCGCGGAACCCCTTGCAGTCCTCAGTCAAGGTGAAGCTCTGGTTTGTTCTTTTTTTCCAATTTCTTATTATTATGGTGAAATACACGTAATATAAACTGTACCATCTCAGCCATGTTGAAGCGTACATTTCAGTGGCATTAAGTACATTCGTATAGTTCTGCAACCATCCCCACCATCATTTCTAGAACTTTCTCATCCCAAACTGACACCCCACCACCACCACCGCCCCCGCACCGCCATGTACTGTCTGCCTCTGAACTGCCTCCTCCAGGAGAGCCTCCTACACGTGGACTCACACGGCGCTCGTCCTGATGGGCTGGTTTTCCTCAGAACAGTGGCCCCGGGCCGTGCACGCTGCAGCCTGTGTCAGAGCCCCTTCTGTTCTGAGGCTGAGAAATAATCCACGGTGTGTTTACCCTTCACCTGTCAGTGCACGCTCGGGTGGCTCCACGTGTTGGCTTTCGTGAGTCATGCTGCGATGCACATGGTGTGCCAATATCTCCGAGACTCTGCTTTCAGTTCTTTTGCATATCTACCAAGAAGCAGAACTGCTGGGTCATAAGGTCATTCCGTGTTTAGTTTTTTGAGGAACCTTCACACTGTTTCCCACAGCGGCTGCACCGCCTCATGTTCCCAGCCGTGCACAGGCCCCATTTCTCCACATCCTGGCCAACACGTGCGGTTTTCTGTGTTGTTTTGAACAATAGCATCCTAATGGCCATGAAGTAGGGTCTCACTGTGGTGCTGAGTTGCATTTCCCTGGTGATTAGAGACATGGAGCACCTTTCTATGGCTTATTGGCTATTTCATGTCTTATTTGGAGAATGTCTAGTCAGGTCCTTTGCCCATTTTTTAGTCGCATTTTGTTTTATTGCATTTTAGGAGTTCTCTCTAAATGCTGAGTATTAATACCTTATCAGATACATGACTTGCAACTATTTTCTCTCATTCTATGTGTTGTCTTTGGAGGCACAAAATTTTTAAGTTTTCATAAAGTCAAATTTGTCTTATTTTCTCCTTGATACCTATGCTTTTCGTGTCAGATCCAAGAAGTCGTTTCTAAACCCAATGTTATGAAGCTTTTGTCCCACGTTTTCTTCTAGGAGTTTTATAATTTTAGCTTCTATGTTTAAATCTTTAATCCGTGTGGAGTTAATTTGTGTGAGTGGTATAAGGGCCCCGCTTCATTTGCGTGCAGATGACCCAGTTTTCCCAGCACCGTTTGTTGAAAAGACTGTCCCTTTCCCGTTGAAGGGTCTTGCCAGAAATAATTTGACTGTGTGAGTGTTTATTTCTGGGCTTTATTCTATTCCCTGGACTGCGTGCCTCATATGTCTCTTTTTATGCCAGGGCCACACTGTTTTGAGGACTGTAGCTTTGTAGTAGGTTTTGAAATCAGTGTGGGTTCTCCAGCTTTGTTCTTCTTTTTCAAGATAGTTTTGGCTATTTGTGGGTCTTTGAAATTCCATGAATTTTAGGAGGATTTTTCTATTTCTGGAAAACAATGAGATTTTGATACGGATTGCATTGAGTCTGTAGATCACTTTGGGCAGTTTTAACACCGTAACAGTAGTAAGCCTTCCAGTCCATGAACACTGATGTCTTTTCATTCATCAGCGTCGCCTTTAATCTCAGCAGTATGTTGTAGTTTTCAGTGTACAAATATTTCATCTTCTTGACTAAGCTTATTCCTAAATATTTTGTTCTTTTTGATGCTATGGTAAATGGGATACTTTTATTAATTTCCTTTTTGGACTGTTCATTGTTAGTGTATAGGAATGCAACTGAGTTCTGAGCATTCATTTTCTATCCTGCAGCTTTGCTGAATTTGTTTATTAGTTCTCACATGGCTTGTTTGTTTTGTAGACTCTTTAGGGTTTCCTGCATATAATATCATGTCAGAATTTTACTTCTTCTTTTCCAGTTTGGATGCCTTTTATTTTCTTTCCTTGCCTGGTTGCTCTGGCTAGAACTTCCAGTGCTGTGTTGAATAGCAGCAGTGGTGAGAGTGGGCATCCTTGTCTTGTTCCAGATCTTAGAGGAAAAGCACCAGCCTTTTACCACTGAGTATGATGCTCAGTGTGTGTTTTTCATGTCTGGCCTTTACCGTATGGAGGTGGTTTCCCTCTAATCCTAGTGTGTCACGTGTTGCATGCGTATCACTAAGTGAGCCCCTCGTTTTGGACACAGCTTCCTGAAGCTGCTCTTGCTCCCACAGACACAGCCCTGGCCATGAGCTTCTGGACATTTGCTGCGGCTATGGGAGTTTTGGTGTCTGTGAACTCCTGAGCAGCCTGAGCGGTGGTCACGGCATGCTTTCCTCACTTTCCTCGAAGTCTGAGACGGGCTATTCTCAGAATGAAGTAGTGTCACTTGCCATCCAAGGCTGGCCCTCCCCACAGGGCCAGTTACTCACTATGTACTACCCAAGGCGCTCAGTCCGGACAATTCAAGGGCATAAGAGGCTGCTGGGAGGGGAGCATCTCAGACCTGTAGAACCGTGTGCTCCGGCACCAGCCTGTGGCACAGCCCCGCCGTGCTGTGTGGGCCCTCGCTCGAGCACATGGCAGGGGGAGGCCCTAGGCGTGCTCATCCAGATCTGTGGGGATTCCCACAGGGACCCACTTCCAGCGGGTGATCCCAGAAGATGGCCCTGCAGCCCAGAACCCAGAAAACGTCAAGAGACTTCTCTTCTGTACGGGCAAGGTGTACTATGACCTGACCCGAGAGCGCAAAGCGCGGGACATGGTAGAGCAGGTGGCCATCGCCAGGATCGAGCAGGTAGGGCCAGTGGCGCGGCAGCTGAGCTCTCCCCTGGGACGCCGGCCGCCCTGAGCGTCGTCTCCTGACGGGGCCCCTCGCTCTCCCCAGCTGTCGCCGTTCCCCTTCGACCTGCTGCTGCAGGAGGTACAGAAGTACCCCAATGCCGAGCTGGCCTGGTGCCAGGAGGAGCACAAGAACCAAGGCTACTATGACTACGTGAAGCCCAGGCTGCGGACCACCATAAGCCGCGCCAAGCCCGTGTGGTAGGCCGCGGCCCGCAGACGGTGGGCGGTGTGGGGGCGGCCGGGGAGGGAAACAGGGCCTTGGCCAGACTGCTCCCTGTCACCCCTCAGGTATGCTGGCCGGGACCCCGCAGCGGCTCCAGCCACCGGCAACAAGAAGACCCACGTGACGGAGCTGCAGCGCCTGCTGGACATGGCCTTCGACCTGGACGCCTTCAAGAACTTCTCGTAGATGCCGCCGGCTGCTCGGGCCGCTGCCTCCATGTCCACTGCTCTCGCTTCTCTACTAAAGAATAGTGCCTCAGCGCTGCCCACACCCCTGCCTGCCCGCCACACCACACACCGTCCTCCCCCACTTGAGATTAGGCTGCGTCCCCTCACGTGCTTGGCTGCCCCCGAGGCGGACGCTCCCAGGCTGTGACTTCCATCTGGCGGAGACGCATGGGGGACGGGCAGGGGCCGCAGGTTCCTGGAAGGGTCAGCTCTGCCCCAGCCCAGCTTCACCCCAAGGACCCATCTGACGGGCTTATCACCCAGCAAGGGGTCCTGCACCCCTCGGTCACCAGGGCAGAACCCCAGACCCTGGGGAGGAGCCAGCACCATCAGAGGCTTGTGGGGTGGGAGGGGCTGGCAGGGCCCTCACTCCACCGAGTACCACCGGTGCCACCACCGGGCGCGGCTTGCAGGACACGGCCTGAGCCTGCCCGGGCTCCGAGAGGGCAGGTCCGCTCTCTGCAGTGTCCACTTCCGCCTCTCAAGAGGGTCCCAGGCCATGCGTGGGGGTCACGGGCTCGCCCTGCCCACAGCCAGGACACAGCGGTTGGTCTGGGCCCTGCTCTCCGGTCACCCGCCTCGGCCTGCCCAGCCCAGTTCCCTTTCCTGTGTCCCTGTCACACAGTGGAGACTGGAGCACTGACCTCTCTGCTGGGCCAAAGCTGGCCAGGAGGAGAGGCGGGCCGGGCTAAGGGGCAGCCTCCCCTCACCTGTCACAGGGACACATCCAATTTATTTATTTTGGTTAAAAAAAGAACAAAAAGAACTCTGCATTGCATTTGGCTTGACCCATAAACTAAGTTATCCGTGGGCCTGTCTGCGTGTCATCTATCTGCTCCCTCCTCGCAGGAAGCCGCCCCTCGCTGCGCTCCGCCCAGGTCCTGCCTCCCTGTCATCCATGCAAACTGTATCTGGTGCACTGACCTCAGCCTCCCCACTCCACTGAAAAAAGGACTCTTGTCTATGCTTGGCCTGGAGTGCCTGGTGGGTTCCCCAGGACGTCCGTTGTTGGTGAGCGCACTCTGCCCCCCAGAAGCCCAAGCAGCTTCCTGGAGGGGAGCCGGCTATCCGGCAGTTTCCCCTCTCTACAAGAGTCCCACTGTCTTGAGCCCACAACATTCCAGCCTTGCGGGGGAGGGTGTCAAGGGTCCAAGCACAGAAGGAGAGCTCAGGAGAAGGCTGAGGTGTGGACATGGGATGCCATCCAGTAGCAGGGACCTGATGGTCACCCCATCCTGTAGGCCATGCCTAGGTCCCTTGTCCTGTGTGCTCCCTGTGGCTTGCCAAAGGGTTCTCCAGTCCTGCGGGGACAGGCGGAGCCTCCTGTGTGTGCCCCAGGACTGCACACCCTCCCCGAGTCATTTGACAGCTGTGGGTTCGGGCTAAGAGGCCAACGTGAGGCGGGACCCCTTCCCTGCAGACTCCTGGCTCTCAATGCTTCCAGTGTGGGGACAGGGCTGAGCCAGGCATCCCCAGGGGTGGGGGCCACAGAGACAGGGCTGGGTCTTCCGAAGACCTCTCCCACTCGCAGCTCTGGGTCTGCAAGCCTGCCCACGTGCCAGGAGAAGGGGCTCACAGGTGCTGGGAAGGTAAAGGCAGCCAGGCACCCCAGGCCACACACCGCAGGACACTACTGGTTAGCTGTGTCCTGTTTCGGTTCTCAGCAGTCCGATTCCTGAAATGGGATAGAGCACCTGTGCCAAGGAGGAGGCTTCACAGTCCAGGAGCCTGTGTGCTCTGATGGACTGGAGGGGCCCAGAGCTGAGTGGGGGTGTGCACATGCCTGCGAGTGTGCACACGCGTGTGCGTGGGCCTGCTGAGGAGGTCCTGGGCTCTTCTGGATATAAAGGCCCTGGCGACGCCACACCAGCTGTGAAAGCCCTGCTCCTCCCAAGGAGCCAGGCCTGAGGAGCTTGCCGCCCCAGGAGTGACAGGTGTGCCCCGGAAAGGTGCTGAGGAGCCAGGGACACTGCACAGGTGACCGAGGCCTCGTCCACTGGGTGTGGGGTCAAGTGTCCGCCCACTGCGATTCCATCTTAGAGGAAACTGGAGTCAATGTCGTTGAATTTCTGCCTTAAATTAGGGCAGTAAGCTCCCCATCCCTGTCGTATTCAATTGGGACTGGACTCAACAGAAACTGGAAAACCCTCAGAGCTAGGCCAGCTTCTCAGATTTCCCACCACGGCTGCACTGGGACCCCCAGCTTGCATCCTGAAATGAAGCACTGAGTGGGGGCCCTGTGCCCCCCAGGGCCTCCCCTCCCTCACACTGGCACCACCTTCATTCATGCCCCCCCCCCAAAATCAGGGCCCTATTTGTAATTGAGGTACGATTGAGATATTTTAGTTTCAGGTGCAAGACCCAGTAATTCGGTGTTGTATAAATGGTAAAATGATCACCGCAGTGAGCAGTTAACATCCATCACCTCACAGTTACAAGTTTTTCCTGATGATAAAAGCTTTTAAGACCTACTCTCTCAGCAACTTCAAAATATGCAAGACAGCATTAACTATAGTGGCCACGCTGTCCACCACACTTCAGAACTCACTCAGGTTATAAGTGGGGTTGGTTCCCTTGTGCTCCTCCCCTCCAGTCCCCTCCCCCACCCCCCACAAGCCTCCACCCCTGCCTGCCTGGGCCAAAGAGAGGCTGGGACAGTCAGCCTGCTCTGGCGCCCTCACCCTCCCCATTCCCCACCTGTGGGAGTGGGCGGGGCTGTTGGAGGGCTGTCTCCCCAGCCCAGGGTCCCCCGGCCCTCCACTCTGCTCTGACCCAGGGACCGCCCTGGCGGAGAAGTCTGCAGAGCACCCCAGGCCCAGGAGACTCTGTGGCCTGCCTGTCGCCCTGGTCACCTGAGGGAGCTCCAGGGCCCCCATTCATGACTTGGGGTGCTGATTTACCAGCGGTCCTCCACTCCCCCAGTCTGAAGTGTATGTAGCCTTAAGAACAGCCTTCAGGCCCGGCCAAGTGGCGCGTTGGTTAAGAGCTGGCTTGGAACACCAGAGGGCCCGGGTTCGGATCCCACATGAGGGCCAGTGACACTGCCCTCCACAGCTAGGATGCTGAACAACAGCTCAACCTGGAGCTGGGGTGCTGTGAGTCCCCTGTGACGGCGTAGGCTGCAGCCCCTGTGGCAGTGGGTTGCTATGGGCTACCATGTGTAGCCAGCAGCCAGCGTGAGCGGCCAACAGCCGCAGAGGACAACAGTCCAGAAGCCGGCGACTGATCTGCCTCACCCGGGAAGAGCGCAATGATGGTGCCAACTTGGGCCAGTGAAGCAACGTCCTCCACAACTAGACTGAAGAACAAAATGACAGCAACCTGTCTGTTCCGCTTCCCCCGATTCCCCAATAAAAAAATTAAAAAAAAAAAAAAAGACATACTTCAGAAGACTCAAGAGGAGAAAAATAGTATTTAACAATTTTTGCTTTGGGTACTATTTTTCTTTCCTGGTTATCCTAAGATGCTTTTTTTTTTTTTCTTAAATCATTTCCTTTCTGTTTAGAGAAGTGCTTTTAGCTGTTCTCTCAGGGTAGGTCTGCTGGTGACAAACGCTCTGAGGCTTCCTACCCCTGAGTGTTTTCACTGCCTCTTACCTCCTCAGGGACACACTGGACGCCAGATTCTGCACCTGAAAACCGCTGCACCCTTCCTCTGGCTTTGTGGTTTCTGGTGATAAATCCTCTCATATGAATTGTCCTTTATTTGCTTTAGTTTTTAGAAGTTTGCTTACGATAGGCCTCGGCATTGATTTCTCTGGGTTTATCGCTTTGGGATTTGCTCACCTTGAATCCATAGGTTCATGCCTCCTGTCCTATGTTCTCATAGGACATTCTCAGCCATTATCTGAGTACTTTTCCAAGCGCCCTGTTTCTCCTCTCCTTTCAGGACTGGATGCACATGAATGTTGAATCTTTCGTTAGAGGCCCACAGGTCCCGGAGGCGCTGGTTTTTGTTTTGTTTTGTTTCAGTCAGTGTTCTCTGTTCAGGGTAATTCCTGTTGTTCTTTCTTCCTTCTAGCTCCCCATCCTCTGCCCTCTCCATTCTGCCATCGAGCCTATCCAATGAGCTTTTAAATTTCAGTTATTGTATTTTTTTACTTCGAAATTTTCCATTTGGTCCTTCTTTACATCTTCTATTTATTGAGGCTTTCTATTTTTAAAATTTGTTTCAAGAGTTCATAATTGCTTGTTGAAGCATTTTTACAATGGCTGCTTTAAAATCATTGTCAGATAATTCTAACATCTCTGTCATCTTGGTGTTAGCATCTATCGATAGTCTCTTAAATTTAGTTTGATATCTTCCAGAGCCTTCGTATGACATGTGATTTTTTTATTGAAAACTGGACTTTTTGAGTATTATGAAACTAGATATTATTTTAAACTTTCTTTTAAATGGCTTCTTCTTACACCTCTTCAGCAGGAGATGGGAGAGCACCCTCTCATTACTGCCAGGTAGGTGTTCCCCCCGGGCCTCCAGTGACACCCTGTGGGGAGGTCTCCTTATTACTGCTGCATGGGGTGCTGTTGCTGTCCCCACTGGACCTCCACACTTTTGCCTCCCCGGATGGAAGCATCTTGCCGTCGTACCCACGTGGTCTCCTCCACTGACACTTGCTTTACCACTGAGCGTGGTCAGAGCCCTCCTCTGACACCACCCCATGTGGGGAGGTGGCGGCCACATTAAAGCCAGCTGAGGGTGGAGGCTCCCCACTCAGGCTTCACTTGGGAGGGGAGAGGAGGCACCACAGCGTTTCCTGTGGTGTTGGCCAGGGTAACGTTGTTATTGTCTAAAAGTTCTGTGTCCCACTAGGCTGCCCCTTTCTTGGGCCTCTGGACAGAGAGCTGACTTCTCTTGGTCTGCACCTGTTGGCACTTCTGGGTTGTCAGCTTGTTCACCACCCATTCTGGGATATAAGAGGAAAAAGAAAACTCAGAAGTTACTGCTGGGTCATGCCATGGGTCCCAAGGTCCCTAGTCAGTCGGCCTCCCTTTGCTTTCTTCTTTTCAGAGACTTTTTATGTTTTATTTATCTATCTATAATTTCTAGGGCTTTAGTTATACTTAGCAGGAAGAATAGGGAAAAGTACATCTGCTCCATCTTCCTGGAAGCAGAAGTCACCCTCACTAATTTTTAACAGTACGAAGTCCGAAGACCAAAAATATGGGAACCACTAACCCAAAGGAAATACGGGAGTAAGCCACATGGAAACCTGGGAAAGGAGTAACCTCGGGGGAAGTACAGGAAGCGGGAAAGCAAGAAGATGGAGGGGTTGGGAGTCGACAAGTCGTCCAGTGTGGCTGGAGCACAGTGAGCAAGCCGAGTGACAGAAGTGAAGGCGGGGACTGCTGGGCCAGGGCGCAGCCCTGGTGAGGACCTGGCTGTCATCAACAGGAAGTCGCTACACAGCTCTGAGCAAAGCAATGGCACATGCGGATATGCTCTAAAGGCTCCCTCTGGCTGTCGGGTCTTCGGTGCAGGCAGAGACTGGGAGACTTAGCACCAGGCTCTTGCCCAGTCCAAGTGAGGACACGTCTCACCCTGTCTAGTCAACGTGGTACCAGAGGGACTCGCCAGGCGATTAGGTAAGAAAATGTGATAAAAGATGTGCAGATTGGACAGAGAGAAGTGAAACCATCTCCATGGCAGGTGACACAATCTTACAGACAGAATTCTAAGGAATCCTTTTTTGTTTGTTTGTTTGTTTTCAGCTGAGCCATCCTGCCACCTGTTGGCAGCTCAGCAGCAGCTCAGCTCAGGCCGGGAATCGAACCACTATTGCTCAGAGCTCACACTCTTGAGCGAGCTCTT